AATATAAACGAAGCAATGTGTGTATGTATGGCACACTTTTTTAGTGTGTAACAATTGTTTGCTAGCATCTATTAAAACTGGCTACATTTTGATGCATGCTATTATATTAGGTTAGAGAGGGAAGTGCTACAAATACAACTGGACTTTCCGATGTGAATCCGAACTTAATTGGGTCTAGTACAGATACCGGACACGAATGTGAAATACCCCAAAAAAAGGAAAAAAGAAAAGGGAAGTGATACACACACAATTAAAGGTTCAATAACTGCAAAATCTCATCAATTGTAGCAACTTTTTTCTAAAGCAGGACTTTGACAGTAAATATATTATCAACGAGTGTGTCAAAACCTTAAACGAACAAATAACAATAACAACATACCCAATAATATCCCACATCGTGGGGTATGGGGAGGGTAATGTGTACGCAGACCTTATCCCTACCTTGTGAGAATAGAGAGGCTGTTTCCAATAAACCCTCGGCTTAGGAAAGCATTAGCACCACATTAATGAAAATATAGAGAAGAAGGGACAATACCAAGAAGCCATATAAAAGCAGAATAAAAACAACCAGATAGTAAGGTGATCAACATTGAAAGAAACAACGGTTAGTCATAAAAATCTACTACCAACAGAAAGCGAGACTGTGTGCCAATACTACTGTTATGAACACTCTAGACTACCTACTATACTACCCTAATCCTCGACCTCCATACCTTCCTATCAAGGATTATGTCCTCGGTCAGCTGAAGTTGCGCCATGTCTTGCCTAATCACCTCTCCTCACCTCTTCTTTGGCCTACCTCTACCTCTCCGTAGGCCCTCCAATGTCAACCTCTAACACCTCCTCACCGGGGCATCTGTGCTTCTCCTCCTCACATGACCAAACCACCTAAGTCGCGCTTCCCGCATCTTGTCCTCAATAGGGGCTACACTCACCTTGTCGCGAATAACCTTATTTCTGATCCTATCTAACCTGGTGTGCCCACACATCCATCTCAACATCCTTATCTCTGCTACCTTCATCTTCTACATATGAGCAATCTTGACTGACCAACACTCATCCTCATACAACATCGTTGGTTTGACTACCACTCTGTAGAACTTACCCTTAAGTTTCGGTGGCACTTACTTGTCACACAAAACACCGGAAGCGAGTCTCCATTTCATCCATCCTGCCTTAATATGATGTGTGACATCTTCATCAATCTCCTCATCCCCTGAATAATAGACCCAAAGTACTTAAAACTCCCTCTCCTAGGGATGACCTGCGAGTCCAGCCTCACCTCTCCTTCCCATTCTTGAGTCTCGCCACTGAACTTACACTCCAAGTATTCTGTCTTGATCCTGCTCAATTTGAAACCTTTAGATTCCAGGGTCTGCCTCCATACCTCTAATTGCGCATTCACACCATCTCACGTCTCGTCAATCAATACAATATCATCTGCAAATAGCATGCACCACAGCACCTCCCCTTGGATGTGGCGCGTCAGTACATCTATCACCAGAGCAAACAAAAAAGGGCTGAGTGTCGACCCTTGATGCAACCCCATCATCATCAAAAAATGATCCGAGTCCCCACCCACCGTCCTCACTCGGGTCTTTACTCCATCATACATATCCTTAATCAACCTAATGTAGGCAACAGGTACACCTCTAGCCTCCAAATATCTCCACAAAACCTCCATCGGAACTTTATCGTACGCATTTTCCAATTCGATGAATACCATATGCAAGACCATATCTCTTTTAATAAAAAAGATTATAATTATATCTTATGCCACGTGTATCTATTTAATACAAATAGTTTAGGCTCCATATCTATTTTAAGTACTTTGAATACCTTTGCCAAGGACATTCAATGGTAGTATCTCAATGTTGGGTTTAGTAACGGTAAAATTAGTTATGATGAGATTATTTCTTGTCGACTGCTTGGTTTGGTGTATTAAAAATAACACGCATTGCATAATTTTTTTTAAAATTATTTATTTACAAAAATACCTTTCACATTCTTTGGAAATGATTTAGAAAAGATTTTGAAAGGGCAATTTTGTATTTATACGTGCTTATTCATGTACTAAAAAAATATGGTATTACTGATGTCATAGTTTGCTATGCATAAGAATAGTACTGAATATGGTGTATAACTAATACATAGGTTGAAAAATATTACCAAACAAGAAATTAATAATACCAAAGCTAATACATATATTATTTTCCCTAATACATCCTACCAAATGAACCTAAGTTAACTCTAAGTTCTGTCTTTCATATCTTGCATTTCATGGCCACCAAGTACTGGCCTTGGTCCCTCTACTACTTGAGATTGTGAACTTTTTTCTCCTTTTAGATTGAATGGTAGATCTTATCATCCTAATACTTAAAATGTTACAATTCGAATCTTCGGTATGAAAAGAAAAGTTTATAAAAGACCAATAAATGATGAAGATAAAAAAGATGACAACAATTCCAAGATATATGATAGAGGATAAATGCCCTGCCAACCATTTATTTTCACTACAGTCGGTGTTTTCTAGGTACTAAAATGTCCATATCGCAACATAAATTAACTGTCTGTAGAATGTAGAATAAAAATAAAAGAAGAAATAGTTTTCTTACCACTAAATAAAGTGTTATGCTAGGTTTGGAACTTAGGAGGATATGAGTACGTTGGCTCAACGCTTCGTGTTAGTGATGGATTTCGTGATGTGCGTCCAACTCGTACATTTGGTGCAATGCTTCATGTTAGTGAATAGAGTTCGTGACGTGTGTCTAATTCACATATTCCGTGTTGCGATTTTACTATCAATCTAAAATCCTGAGTTTCTATGATAATTAAAACTTGTAAAATTATAAATCGAATGGGCCATTGTCATCCTTACATTTGGAGCAAGATAATCTCACTAGTACGATGATTATCAAATACTATTTGATGAGGATACGATGTTGTTTACCTGTTTTATGGTTTTTGCATTCCTCTTTCTATTAATGTATGCTAATAATGTATAAAACTTAGACTCTAATTAATATTTGATTTTTCTTCTGAAATGGCTACATTATTTAGGTAGCTTACAAGGACAATCATTACATTAAGCTTCCTTTTTAAGAAAAAATCATCAATTATATATCAAACTTGTTAATTTAACTTCTCACTCTACGTTATTATGCTGTATACTCACTTGGGCACCAAATTTCGGAATCATAATTGCAAAATCTTGTTTAGGTAGATCGTAGTTGCAAATGTTCACTTGACGAGTAGCTTTGGAGCAATGGTCAAATTGTTTATGTGTGACTTAAAGGTCACAGGTTCGAGCTGTTGATCAGTTATTGATACGCGTATCAGGGTATGTTACCTACATCACACTCCCTTGGGGTGCGACCCTTCCCTCGACCATACGTTTACTTTATGCATTATTTCTTGGGTTTAGGTAGGTCATAATTAACATTCCTCACATTTCTAATCTTGTCAATAATATTTGGTGTAAATCATTAAAAAGAAGGCACTGCAAAGAATGTGAGAAAACGAGAAGTTTATGTGTCTAAATACATATATAAAAGAGATTTTATTACCAAATATGTTTATTGGTGTGCAAAAAGAAAACCCGAGGGATTACTTAAAAGCACTGTCTGAAATGGTTGACCAAACACAAATTATTGCTCAAAAATATTTTTGAAATTGATTAGCCAAACACAAATCGATTTTCTCCAAAAATATTCTTTTCAAAAACACTTCTCAAAATAAGCTGATTTCTTGACTAAACAGACTATTATTCACTACTTAGATGTAAAATTCAAATTCAAATTCTTTCTTTCTTTGCCCATCTTAAGAAAAGGTTAAACAAAACGACATAGGAGTATTAATCAGAAGAAGAAACTTAGAAAAGCACATAGGTGTGCCATTCGACCAATACAAAAATCCAAAATCCTATCCAATGTTAAAACAACTTCAACTTGAAACCACACGAATATTCTTGCCATGTTTCTCTATATAACTCTCAGTCCACAAAATCCATTTCACAAATCTCCTTTTTGTCCTATTCTTCACTTCAATCTCTCCCAATTTTTTTTGGTCTCTTGTTCTTCTGCTTTACTTTGTATTTTATTACTTTATTTAATATACAATAACAATAATAAATACAATAGGCCTAGTTCTAAGTTAGTTGACGTCTGTTATATTAATTTTCATTATCCATTTCACATCATTTAAACATATTTTATCATGATATTTAATAAATTAACTTTTCTATATTTTCTGTTGACACATATTTGTTTCAGCAAGATTAAAGAAATTCCTTGGTGCAAAGGTTTAGAGATTAATTACACTTCAAATTTTAATAAAGACAAAATTTATTAGAAGATATATTTTTATTTATTTAAATTTTGGTAGATAGAATTATTTGATATTTATATATATATATCCATGGAAAATAACAAATACATGATGGAATAGTCAAAGTAAAAAAGTAATATTATAAAATAAGATTAAAAAATATTAGACAAATGTAAGCTTACCAATAATATTATGTCTTAATCTCAATTAGTTGCTATTGTCAGTACTATTCTTTTTCATCTGTTATATGATGATTCTTTAGTCCTTAATATTTCAAGATATTCAATATCACCTTACTAATAATGTTATTCTATTTTCATCTTTATTACTATTTAAAGTTTCCAACCTTGGTTTTCTTTTATCATACTATTACTTGAAAATACATATCACATTTTATTTTTCAAGAGTCAAATTATATAAACTTTGATTAATAATTTATCATGCATATTTTTAAAATACTGACATAAGAAAAAATACAAATCATAATTTTTTTAAATATAATTTTTGAATATTTAAATTTAAATTTATATTATAGAATTAATTTAATTCAATTAATTTTAAGGACTAGTCAAACTAATCTCGAAAAGCGAGTTGCTGCTAACTTTCCAACTAATACATCAAGTATAGTCGTAAACAATTCCCAATAAACCATACTCTTAAATTAAATATTTCAAATTTTCTTCCTCCTTAAATACCCTTATGTATAAGCAAAGAATCTTATGGGAATTTATACGTAAATTAAAATAAAAAGGACCCATTTTTATTTTTATTTTTGTCCAAAATGGAGCTGCCGGAGATGGAATCAATGGCGACGGCGATCGGAGTATCGGTACCGGTGCTTCGATTTCTACTCTGTTTTATCGCCACCATTCCGGTGAGCTTCCTCCACCGTTTTGTTCCTTCCGCCACCGGAAAACACCTATACGCCGCCGTGATGGGCGGTGTTTTGTCCTACTTGTCGTTTGGATTCTCTTCGAATCTNGGTTAATTTGATATTCTGGTTAATATCAAATCCTCCTTTTGTTTCTAATTCAAAAAGACTTCATTTTAGGAATTTATGTAGAGTTAACAAGAATGGAACAGTATAAAAACAAAAGATTTATATTGGAAATACTAACTAGTTGGAATTAAGGCTTACTTTTATTTGGTTGTCATTAGAAATGTAGAAAAGCTCTACTACTGAAGAGTAAGATTAAGATAAATTATTGGGTAGTAGAATGAAAATGTGATGATGGAGTAGGATGGATATTGAGGATTCATATAACCGACTTCATTAGTTTGGGATTGAGCATTGCTGTCATGCCTTTTGTTTTCCTTTCCTATATGGAGTTCACCCTGAAGAAGGGGAGCCTTGGTGGTAAAAGTTTCCACTGGCAAGACGGGTTCAAGCCACGAAAATAGCCTCTTACAGAAATACAACGTAAGACTGCATACATAAAACCCAATGTGGCCTGGCCCTTCCCCAGAACCCCACATAGCGGGAGCTTAGTGCACTGGGCTGCTCTATTTTTTATGAGCTCACCCCATGCAATTTGCTTAATTGGATGATGAGCTTTGAAAGTATAGGAGTAGAAGTCTATAAAGCTGCAAACTTTAGTTGCATGTGTCAAGTCTTACTAATTTCTCCATTCGATTTGCGTAATTGTGTGAAGAAATGGATGTTGGGCCTAACTCCAAAAGTTAGCTCACGAGGGCAGGATTGCATAATACCATATAACCCATTCCCTTAACCAATGTGGGACATAGCAAATTGGTTGGTGAACTTTGAAAGTATAGGAGTAGAAGTCTGTAAAGCTGTGATCTTCGTTGCATGTGTGTCAAATTTCAGTGATTTCGTTTCAATTAAGGTGTTAGGTTTTGCACCCATCTCCTTCTAATGGGTCAATCTTCTTAACATTGTGTTGTTATTGTGAGTTCATTTGCATCTGGGTGTGGAGCTTTCGTGAATGAGTTGGTTCATGTTAATTTCAGGTAATTTAGGTCTTTAAAATAATAGAGTTAAAAGGAAAGGAGAAATTTGCTTGTGGATTTCATTTACATTAGGAATATTTTGTATTGACATTTTAACATAGAGTTTTATGCAGTTAAATAGTATTCTTGTACTAGGTTAAAGTGGGATAATGTTCGCATCTTGTTAATGACACCGGTTATTCATTTTTCTATGTTTTGGCATCTTGTCATTTTAAAAGACAATGTATTCTGTGCTTCCTTATGTAACATGTATATTTGGTGATAATTTGTTCCAAATAGGAGGAAACAAAAGTAGTACTTTGTCATGCTACTGACACTGGTTTTTGGTGATGCTTTTATTCATTTCGCTATGTGTTCACATGTCGTCATTTTATAATACAGTGTATTCTGTGCTTCCTTATATAATGTGCAGGTATATTTGGTAATCATTTGTATCAAAATAATAAATAAAAGTAGTACTTTGTCATAGTTGGTGGTTTGGATAAGATAAAAGTAGTACTTTCTAATACTTAGCTACAACTATATTTGTGCAGCCATGTTTACTACATGAGTGGGGATGCGTGGAAGGAAGGAGGTATTGATGCAACAGGTAAATGCTTCTTTGATCTTTGTCCTATCTTGATCTCAATCATCTCATCTATTGAGTGTAATTAACGATTTTTCTTCTGGTAGGTCAGGATTTATGTCGGATTCCGTGCTTGAATGTAGTGATTAAGCAAACTCATCGGTGTTTCTAATTTAGTGACTAGATGATGAAACAAAAGACATTTTAGGGCTTGCATCAGATTGATTTAGTGCAGATTCAGTGAAAAAATTGTGATCATTATTATTATATTATTATTATTATTTTTTTTTTTTGATAAGGATCAAGGAGCACTCCTTATTATAATGATCTGAATCATCTTGAATTTCTAGATATGCTGGCAGTAGTGCTTTTATATGCCTTTATGGGTACTCTACAGACTTGTAAAAAATACTATTTACAGTTTCAGAGTTTAGTTATCGTATTACTAGATATAGCTAATCCAGAAATGATTTTGTTCTCTTTTAGGAGCTTTAATGGTGGTAACACTGAAAATAATTTCATGTGTGATCAATTACCAAGATGGATTGTTGAAGGAGGAGGATTTGCGTGAGGCTCAGAAGAAAAATCGTTTGCTCAAGTTGCCATCTGTACTTGAGTACTTTGGTTACTGTCTCTGTTGTGGAAGTCATTTTGCTGGTCCAGTGTATGAAATGAAGGATTACCTTGACTGGACGGAGAGAAAAGGCGTATGTTAATATCATAATTATATTGAGTTCTGCACTTTGAATTTCATTAGAACTAATGACTACATCCACGTCCTTCCTCCTTTTCAGATCTGGAAATCTACTGAGAAAGGACATCCATCACCTTTTGGGGCAACTTTGAGGGCTCTTCTTCAAGCTGCTTTTTGTATGGGGTTGTACCTCTACTTGGTGCCTCTTTACCCACTTACCAGGTTCTCTGACCCACTATACCAAGAATGGGGTTTCTTGAAACGGTTGAGTTACCAATATATGGCAGGATTTACTGCCCGGTGGAAATATTATTTTATCTGGTCAATCTCAGAAGCCTCTATCATTATTTCTGGCTTGGGGTTCAGTGGTTGGACAGACTCTTCTCCACCGGAACCACGTTGGGACCGTGCAAAAAATGTTGACGTATTGGGTGTTGAGCTGGCAAAAAGTTCAGTTCAGTTACCTCTTGTATGGAACATTCAAGTCAGCACCTGGCTGCGACACTGTAAGTAAATTTTCTTCTAATCATTTAACACACCGGCTTATAACTTCTAGCATAGCCATTGTCGCTGCAGTAAAGAATGCAAAATTTGGTCAACTAAAGGCATTGTATTTGTTGACAAGCTATTAATTGAATATGCGCAAACTTTACAGTTACATAGTAGAGAATTTTCTGTTTGTGTATGACAGCTAATCATAATGAAGGAACACTCAAAGAAAATCCATTATCAGCCTATTTCAAGTATTTCAATGCTACTCATTTATTGTGGCGTATAATGTTGTAGGCATATTTACTTAAGCTCTTAGCAGAATAATAGGGTATAAGGAACAAATGCTCATAGCTACTTCAAGTTCACATAAAAGTCAATATTGAGGGTGTACTAGCTTTGTTACATCTGCTTGACCAATTATTCTTTGAAGCTTAACGGTGGTTATCTTTGCCCTATCATTTATCAGTGAACTTTGACTTTCTGATACAGACAGGAATTTAGTGTGCCTTTTCTGTATGACTTAATCTATTTTGCCTTTTATAATTTTGTTGTGCAGATGTATATGAGAGGCTCGTACAGAAGGGAAGGAAGCCTGGTTTCTTCCAGTTGCTGGCTACACAAACTGTCAGTGCTGTATGGCATGTAAGTGGATCTTTTAGCACCGTTATGCAAGTTCATTTAATAACTTTTGAAATGTTGATAACTTATAGGGACACATTTACATGATCTATATTTGACTAAACATGGTCTCATGCATTGGTGGTTGATTTTGTCGATATGTGGTGTGACAATATTGGAGAAATGAGCTTTACATAGTTTTTCTAGTTCAGCCGTTTTAACTTTTGTCGATATGTGGTGTGACAATATTGGAGAAATGAGCTTTACATAGTTTTTCTAGTTCAGCCGTTTTAACTTTTGTCTTCTGAACTGATGTTTGCTTGACATCTTGCCATGGTAAAGTTCAATCGTTGCTCCTTTGTTTGCGGTAATCCTAAGCTTGGCTGCCTGCTTCACTGGAAAGTGGCTTATGGGCAATGTTTAATGTGTTATTCATGTGCTCATCCAGTGTCTGATGGTTCATAGGAGAATTTAATCTAATGTGTATTATGAATTTTCAAATTTCTGGGGTAGCAACATAATATGAACTCAACAGTGCAGTGCGCAATTTTCCTATGAATGCTGGATCTTTAAGCTCTAGTACCAAAAACTATAAAGAAATAAGATTAACTTATGAAAATCTTCTGAGGAAAAACTTAGGACACATAAGGGTAGGCTAAGGAGGCTGATATGCAAAGGAAAAAACGATTCTTTAAGGCTGTTTTAGGGGCTGGACGGAATGTTCGGAAGTGTAGAAGCTGCGAGGAGGATAAGCAGAGAATAACAGGACTAAGATAGGACTGAAAAGAGGAGGAAAGGAGAGTAAAATAGGGGGAGTGAATCATTAGATACTTCTGAAAATTTCTTACTTCAAATCTGCTTCAAACACGCGAGGAAGGATATGTTTTTATGGGGAAAACTTGCTACTAAGGACACAGCAGAGAATCAAATCTCTTCACAACTTCCGGAAAATACCAGTAATGTTTAGCTGCCAAGTTTTGAATATTAGAAAATAGAAATCATAGCTTGATTATTGAGGCTATTTACTAGTTACTTGTCGACCACACTTTGGGTGATTGCTTTGTGTGTACTTGACTATTCTCTGCTGTCCAAGCTTCAACCAAATTACAGAAAATTGGAAAAAACCTAAAGGATACCTAGACACATAGTAGAACATTAGGAGATAGATTGATGCAAATATTCCTATCGATGTAGATGCAAACACACTTGAAAAGAAATGAGTTTGACTGCAATCCTTCTTACTGACAATATGAACTTCAAATACAGTTCTCCTTACTTTTTGGTATTCCTCAAACTTCATGGACATATCTGCACCATTTTTGAATTTCAAGTTGGGTGGCACACCCAATAGTACACTTTGAGGTCCTCTTTTTCTGTCATCATTTTCTTTTTGATATAAAAAGAGTATTCATTGATGTTACACCAAGATGGTGTTATTTTTGCACATTTCTGACTTGACTTTGCAATAAGATACTCTGCTTTCTTGAAGTCTGCCAACTGCCGTTGCACCTTTTCCTTATTCTCCATTAGTTGTAGCAATATGATAGTCTAACTAATGATATAAATTCATCCCGTGACATCACAGGGACTATATCCGGGGTACATTATATTCTTTGTTCAGTCGGCTTTGATGATTGCTGGTTCGAGAGGTATCTATCTGGCAATCCTAACTAAATCAGGCAAAAATAGCTTTGATTTGCTTTTCTTCTAATCATGTTTCATCTATCCACAGTCATTTACAGATGGCAGCAAGCTACAAAAGGTACTCTGTTTGAGAAGATACTAACATTGATGAACTTTGCATACACACTGTTGGTTCTTAACTACTCCGCTGTTGGCTTCATGGTTAGTAGTGTATTTCTCAGAACATACTTTGCTCGACGCTAATATCATTGATATAATCTGACAATGGTTTTCTTGCTCGCGTGTTACAGGTATTAAGTCTGCATGAAACGCTCACTTCTTATGGAAGTGTGTACTATATCGGAACCATTATACCGATGGTACTAATCCTGCTTGGTAAAGCGATTAAGCCAGCAAAACCTGCAAGATCTAAAGCTAAGAAAGAAGAGTGAGTCCGATTGTGCTTCTCGAGATGGTTGCTTAGATTTTTTTGGTGGAAACATCGAGCTTTGGTTCCGCTTCTTCTATTTCTTTTATGAGTCTGTAAAACATCTGTTTTGGTTGCTGGTAAAGCAATTTGTTGAGCAAAATAGGACTTTTAATTAACTGGCTACCAAAAATCATGTAGCCAACTGTGTAATTTCTGGAAGCATCTTGGCAAAAAGAAGTTTTGCTTTTGCATCTACCTTGCATTAATAGTTGAGTCATAGTTGTAGAGAAAGTTAGTTATGATATGTACAATCAAACCTCTCTATAACAGCCTCGTTTGTTTCGAATATTTTTGGATGTTATAGCGAAGTGCTGTTATAGAGAGCATATATTATAAAATAACATGAAAATTGGTTCCGGAAAAGCTTGGCTTTTATAGTGAAGTGTTGTTATATAAGGATGTTGTTATAGAGAGGTCTGACTATCGAACTCTATCTATGCTTGCTTGCGCGCATATATGTGGGGTTTTGGGGTTCAAACCCGAAGCGCTAGGTTTTGCCGAACTCGTGAACAACTGTAGTTTAATTCGCCACTGAGTATAAGATTCATAATTTCATACTAGTGCTCATATAGCATGGACGTGATTTTCTTAATTCCCCTTGGAATCATTTTGTTATGTCAAAAAACAGATATACCATTTATTTTCTAGATATTATACACTTTTGCTAGAAGTGCATATTTCCCAACTAGTCCGGACTCATTCCGGGGGAAGTTTCACTTTAGGAGTAAAGTGTTCGCTGCCAAAGTCGATTTCAATCTCAGGGCTCGAACTCGAGATCTTTTATTATGGACTTGAGGATGGTAACTTGTTTTTGTATAATATCTACTGGTGGAATAGTTTTATTATTTTAAGGAATCATGCCTCTAATTTAAGGAATAGTTTTATTATATTGTAGCCTCTCTATGCCAAGTAGAGTCTAGAAATATAAATTTTGTATCATCTCTAATTTTTAATTATTTATCTAGATAGAAAAGGAGAAAAAATAAAAATAAGGTATTCCTTGTAGTTAGGTAGGGAGCATGTTTTATGACAATAGAGGTACCTATTTTGTATTTAAATTTTAATTACAACGGTAGAACCAGGGGCGGTTAACTAGTCAAAGGTGAAAAGACAACCAGCTATCACATATTCACATTCTCCTCGGCAAATGTATATTTTCCGTCAATCTCGAAAATAATAGCCGATAAAATATTTATTTTATGTATAAGTGTATTATATACCTACAATAAATATATTTTATATATTTTTTGGTTAGCGAATGCTATTATTTTCGGCTGACCGACCAATTTTGTATTTTGCCCATTCTCCTCTCCTCTACCCATATTCGCTTAAAGAATTGCGGCATCATTCTTTTTTTTTTTTTTCATCTAACATCGAGTATTTGGTTTGGGGTCTAACTAATTCAGACTCACACCGGGGAGTTTCACACTTTGGGGGTCAAACATTCTCTACCAAAGACGACTCCATTCTTAGGATTCGAACTCAATCTTTCGATTAATGACAGAGAAGTACTTACCACTCTACCGTTACCTTTAGTGGTGCGGCTTCAAATCATGCTTGAGTAACTGTACCAACTTCATTAATAAATCGACGGAAATTTTTAGTTTTTAAGTATGTGAAATTACATTGACTTACAGATAGGTATTGTTTTATTATTTGACATTTTCTGGTTTTTCAAGATTGCATTTATCAAATAATATTGCATCAATTCATCACCTATGGTCAATGTCCCATATCATTTTGATATTAGGAGCGGATTTAGAGGGTTAGTTACGGGTTCACATGAATCTAAAACTTTTACTCAGATCTTTTATATATATTAATTAAAAAATTTATTATTCGATCGTAAACCCGATTGTTATTATACATATACTAGTATATATTAACTTATAAACTTCAAATCTTGGACCGTCTCTAATTATAATTTCCTTATAAGCCATTTCTCTATTTAGTTTAAAACAAGTACAACCAGACCTCTCTATAACAACATCGCTATATAACAGTCATTCACTATAAAAGTTAATTTTTTTATAAAATTATTTTTTATATTATATTATAATACATGTTCTATATAACAGTACTAATTTGCTATAACAATCAAATATATCAGAACAAATGAAGTCGTTACAAACTGTATCGGCGTTTAAAAAAGTTATACTGAAGCTGTCAAATAACAAGACATCAAAGATACTTGTTGGAGCACAAAGTTAAGACTTTTGACAATGAAGTATATATTTTTTTCTGGTCAACAAATTAAGGTAATCCATTAATAGATCAAGATTACAAGTCATTAACAATAATGCGCACCATTATAATTAGGATTATACATGCACCTATATATCAACTTTGACATAGATTTCTATGAAGTATCGTATTTTTCCAATCTTTTCACACTTATTAAGGTAGCCACATATATCCACTTTCATGCAAAAAATATATTAAAAAAAGAACAACGTGCAACATGGCTGCCATAAATTTATATGTTTGCACAGCATGTATATTGTGATTATCTGATATGATCGACTTTGTATTTATTACACAATAAACATTTGTGTTTTCTGTATAGTTTAGAATTAAGTTCTAAGCATTAATATACATGCACAATACGGACCTAGAATTTGAAGGTGGTGAAAGCACATGAGCGAACCCTTCAATTAGTGCTCTATAGTACTTTTGACCTTAGGCGTTTTAAGCAAAATATATGAGTGTTTTAAACACATATATACTCATATATTCAGAATTTTTGCCGAAGTTAACGGGGTTCGGTGACGGTCCTTCTCCAAGCATAGATCCGCTCTGTACGCAATCATATCACATATAAAATAATTATAAATAAATTTTCATGATAAGTATTAATAGATAACTTGGTAAGAATGATAACTAACCTATTATTATAAGTTGTAATTACATGGATATCACTTTTTTGTATTGTCAATGTATATACAGATATAAGTTTACGCAATATATATACTCATATATTTACTCAATCAAATCACTTACAATAAGTTAGTTACAAGAAAATTATGTGCTAATAATTAGTATTTGGTAACTTGAGTAACATAATAACTAACCTGCTAATACAACAAAAATACTAATTGCTGACTAAAACAACTTAATTCTTCAACTATCCATCGGTTTTACTTTTACTCATTCTTATGTCCTACAAACAGTTTATGCTTTCACAAAACGAATATACAATTATTTCTATTTAACAATTATAACGATGTGCACATCACTTAATTCGCGATTGAAGATAATGGATAAGTCCATGTGTTTTTAAAAAGCATTTCTTCTGTTTTTAGGAAAATAAAATATATTTAAGCTACTTTTAAACATAACAACAACGAATGATAATTTTGATCAGCAATGACGCTAGCTATGATTTCGTTAGCATTTTTCATTCACTTATACCATAATTTATACAACAACAACAACAACAACAATCCAGTATAATCCCACTAGTGGGGTCTGGGGAGGGTAGTGTGTACGCAGATCTTACCCCTACCCTGGGGTAGAGAGGCTGTTTCCAATAGACCCTCGGCATCCTTCCCTACAAGAACTCCCACCTTGCTCTTGGGATGACTCGAACTCACAACATCTTGGTTGGAAGTGGAGGGCGCTTACCATCAGAGCAACCCACAAAATCTATTATATGTGCTATTTCAAGAGAAGGAAAACCAAATCAAGTCTTCAACAGAGACAAAATATTAAAGGGCGCTACTAAAAAAAATAGGAATTAGCGACAGACAAATTTTTGTAGATAAACAGCAAAATCCGTCGCTAATTCTACTTAGCGACAAATTATCAAAAAATTCTGTTAGCTACGAGCGATTTAGTGATAGATTAGCGACAAAGTTCGTAGGTAATCCTAATTTTTTTTGTAGTGCCCGTGGATCTAATTTTTCATTTACCACTAGTAATTGTCGAGTGAAATTCAAAAATAGTCAGATTTACAAGTGGTAATTGAAAAATAGCCACAATTTCAAAAGTAATAGAAATTTAGCTACTTTTCATGTAAAGATAAATCTGAACGAAAATACTGTTCAAAATTCGGAAAATATTCCAGCATAATATCCTGGAGTTCGAATTTTTTACATGTGAACTTCCAGCGTAATATATTGGAGTTTCAGCATAATATACTGGTCCCGCATAATATGTTAAAAGTTCATATACATGTGCTCCAATCTCTAGTATATTATGCTGGAACTTTCCGTGTGCTAAACTTTCAGCATAATATGCTGAAAGTTCATACACAGGTGCACAAATCTCCAGTATATTAGGCTGAAACTTTTCATGTTGCAGCAAAATAGTGACTATTTTTCAATGACTTTACAAACGCTAACTATTTTTTAATTACCAGTCCGAAAACTGGCTAGCCCGTGCTATTTGCTACAAAATTCATGAAGTATAGTCTGTTGCAAATTCGGATATAGGAGAAGGTTAATTAGAGTAAATGGTTAATACAAAAGATTACAGAAGGAAATAGCACAAGACTAATATATATATATATATATATNTATTTATTAAATTTATGGCACTTTTGAAATTATTTCGAAATTTAATATTTTATTAAAAGGTGGAGTTTCTTTAGTTTTGTTTGAAAAACAATTGTTTTGACTTTAGAAAAGTCAATTGTCTAGTTTATGACTATATTGGAACAAGGTGATAACCAATTAATGGCAGTAGATTAAGTCATTACAATGACATATTAAGCTGATGGATTTTGAAGTTTATAAACTAAAAGTATAAAATATATTTTCAATTTGTCAAACAATTTGAGATCTTTTTTTAGAATATGAGGCATAAGAATTGGAAAATTTAGAAAGATTATTCAACCTTTGCACCCGCCGGCTACGTAACCAAGCAAACGACCATATTGTTCTATTCTTTCAATTTTGTCTTCATTAAAAGTATGTTGTTTTTCTTCTTTTTGAATGGTCTAAGTTATGGCTTCATGTGCTCTAAGCTTATTTGGATTTTTGGCTTCTTTAGTTTACCTGAATTTGGCATTTTATACGACTCCCATAAATGGAAAGGATATGGTCCCTCGCCTAACCAACTCCACCACATATATATTGTAAAGAAAAAAGAAATAAAAAAAGAGAAAACACCAGCAACGTAGGAAGAGGAGCCTTGGCGGACTGGTAAAATTATGACCTCCTCACGAGTTCGAGCTGTAGAAACAGCCTCTTGCAAAAATGCAGGGTAATGCTGCGTACAATAAACCCTTGTCATAATCCGGCCCTTCCCCGACGGGGTATAGCGGGAGTTTAGTGCACCAGACTGTCCAATCTACCACCGTAAAATCCTTAACCAAAGATTTCGAGTTCAGACTTGGTATGAAGAACCTCTAGGTGATAGAGCTTTATATCATTTAGTCAGCCTACCCTTTGCATATCTGAATTAGTCGAGCTCGTGACGTTAAAAACTAGTTTGGATGGTTGTTACACATCATTTCATAACGTATTATATCGTATTTTATTGTATTGTATTGTATCGTTTAATAAATACAATATCTGGATAGATTGTATCGTTTGTCGTTATTTCATGGTATCATGCGCCAGCAATATGAAGAATAAATTTGTAATATTATAAAGAAAAATTAAGATACGGGGTAAATTTATTATATAAAAAGGTATGGTAAATGATAAAATAAAATTATTTAATAATAGTGACGGGTGAGATGAGAGAAAAAAGATAAAATAACGACGCAACCATACCAAATCGGTCGTTACATAAAATGACACATTTCATCGTTACGTAACGATGGATATAACGATCGATACAATAAAATTTAAGTAACAATCAAAACAAACATAGTATATAAAGTAACAATACGATACAATACAATACATAACGACCATCCAAACAAGCTGTAAGATACCAGATGATTAAATCGAAAAAAAAGTAATAACAAATATTTTATTACCACCAACACAAACAAGTCGTCCCGATTACACAACATCCACATAACAGCACTAAAAATAAATATTAGATTTTAGAAATTAGAGTATGGATTACAAGTCAAGGGACCAAAATTGAAAGAGCAAAAGGAGGCCAAAAAAGTAAAGATTTGACTTCAGAAGTCAAACATTTCATTTCTGTTTGAGAAGGAGGGAACATTAAAACCATGCTAATCAACTAATAAAATATATGGACAACACAATAGTTTATCACAAAACATTCCTGCTTCCACAATTAATTATATCAAAAATAAAAGAGAACAATGCAGATCTTGATTTACAAACACAAAAATTGTAATTACATGAAAACAAGAAAAAAAATAATCTCTATTAACTCTTTTTGTTTGTGTGTTTATATCAAGCTATATTGCTCCATTTTTGAAGAGTTCGAGCAACACAAATATCAAGAATAATAACCGATATACAAAATAATAATAAAAAAAGATGAAAGAATAATCCAAGAATTGATCAAATTAGAAAAATCAAACATTTAAACTTCCATCAAGCTTCTGATAATACTCTGATGAATCAAAAGAACATTCTGCAGTTTCTTCATCAATAATAAACTTCTCTTCCTCTTCATTTTCTTCACCAAAATCTCCTTGTATATTTGCAGTTAACTCTTTTGCTCTTTTAGCTTGATCTTCCCAATTTGTTCTTGCCAAAATAATCAACAACATTGTCACTGCACATGAAGCTTGAGCAGCTAATAATCCAATCCAAAGTCCCTTAAAATCGTAACCTCGAAAAAATCCTAAATAAATAGCCACTGGCATTCCAACAAGATAAAAACAACCAAGATTAATATTAGCACCCAATTTAGGTCTAGCTGTTCCTCTTAATACACCACAACCTGTTGTTTGTGGACAATTTCCAAGCTCACATAATCCAATTATAGGCAAAATTATCGACGTTAACGCGATAATTTCTTGATCTTGAGTGTACATACTTGCCCAAATATTCCTCACTAGTATAGCAAATGACAATGCCAATAGTCCAAAAATGAAACTATAGCATAGTCCAATAATTGCAGCTAATTTTGCTTGATTAGGCCTATTAGCTCCAAGTTCATTTCCAACTCTTGTTGATACACCAACACTCAAAGAAGAAGGGAAAATGTATATCAAAGATGTTGTTTGAATCAAAATTCCCATTGATGCAACATTTGCCTTAGGATTTAACAATAATCCACACAACAAAATCATAATTTCATACCACCACCATTCTAAACAAACACTAATACAACTTGGAATGGCTAAATTTAAAAGTGTTTTCCACCCTTTAAAACACTCTTTAGAAATGGCGCTCCATGTTTTCTTATGTACCCCTGACACTATAATGTACGCAATTAATGACCCCACAAGATTGAAATTTGTCCAAACCCCACTTAAAGCAACACCCTTAATACCAAGATTAAGGACTATAACAAGAAAATAGTTGATTGGAATATGAACAAGAATCGCGAGGGCAGCACAATACGTTAGAGGCATTATTATCGATTGAGAACGAAGATAAATCCTCAACGGATGTAAAAACGAGAGAGCAAAAAGATCAGGAATCGAGTAAATAATGTAACTTTGTGCTTGTGTGGCTATATCATGATCTTGGCCACAAAATACCAAGATTTGTTTCATATTACACCACAAGAATGAAATGGGAATTGATACCAAAAGAAGAAGAAGAATTGTCCTTTGTAAACTAAGGCCAAGAATCTTGAACCTTTTAGCACCAAATGCTTGTCCACAAATTGGTTCCATTCCCATGGCTAAACCAGAAAGGATTGAATAACCGGTTATATTTGCAAAACCAATCGCAAGCGAGCCACCAGCTAAAGAAAGTTCCCCTAAACGACCAAGAAATAGCATTGAGATCATTGAACGAGAGTAGAGAAGTAAGCCTATGAAAATCATGGGAAGTGCAATATTGGCCATGGATTTTGTTTCAGAAATGGCCAAAAACAGAGTATGTTGCTCTGTTTTGCTCTGTTCATTTTGGTTTTCTAATCTTGGAATTTCAGAAACCAATGGAGTCAGCATCTTTGATTTTTGATTATGAATTTCAGGAATTTGTTTTTTGTATGTATGAATTTTGAGACACAAAAAATGTAACAGAAAGTTGTGGGCAAGAAAAGGGAGAGAGGGTTTTAGGAGTAACGGTTTGGTATGGGTTTTATAAGCGCGGGGAATATTGAAAAATTTAGTGAATTTGTTTTGCTTTTTTTTAATTTTATTTTTTTATTTGTTGACTTGTTGCAACATAGCTAGGAAATTAATAAAAAGAAAAATGTGGGTACTTTTCCTATAAAATGTCGTTTTCACAACCGATCATCTAGGTTAGTATTTGGGTTGCATTACAAACAGCAAGGGTTGCATTACAAACAGCAAAACAAGCAGAAGAGCTCGGATTTTTATCAAGGAGATTAAAAAAAATTAAATATACGGAGAAACAAAAAGATTCGCAATATAAAAGGAGGTACAGATGAATCCACTTCCGCCCCGACTCCGCCACGAAGCAAAACCTATGAAAAATATGGAAATGAAGATGATGATTAAGACTATAGAGGAATGTGTGAGATATATATCACATGTTGGGTATATATAGGTATGAGGCTTGTCCATTTTGTTAAGTTTTTGAGTTGGATCTCCAAGTTATTTTTAACATGGTAATAGAGCCATCTTTTAGTAAGTCAAATTATTATATTTCTGATTGTAGCAGCGTTGAATGAACGGTAAATTTAAAATCAAATCCGGTAATTTTAAAGGTGATTCCAATATTAGATTTTGAAGAATCGTCGGCTTTATGGTGACCTATTCAAAAGAACCTGATTGCTATGATTTTGATTACCTAACAACTTATTTGGATTGTTGTTACATGTCATTTCGTAATATATCGTATTGTATTGTACTGCATTGTATTAAATATATTATATCGTTTGTCGTCATTTTATAATGTCACGCACCAACAATATGAAGAATAAACTTGCAATATTATTAAGAAAAAATATGATACATAGTAGAATTATTATATAAAAAAGTAGGGTAAATGATAATATATGATTATTTAATAATAAGAAAAAGCAAGCTGAGAAAAAAAAAGATAATGATGCCACAACACCAAATCCTTCGTTCCATAAAGTGACACTTTTCGTCATTAACCACTCTTGCTCGCTACTTGCCCGCTTGTCGTTTGTTACTACTTTGACTAGCACCCAACTAAGGTCTACTTGTGAAGCCCAACATGTAGTTTATACATATGAGGAGGCGTTGTAGAGATATTATATATATATATTCGCATTCAGTGTTTACATTAACCTACAATAATTTATTATGGTTAAATTATAAATTAAAGTAAAAATATATTTATTAATTGACTGTGGTTTAGTAATAACAATGTATGTTAAGTTGAAGTCAGAAGTGGAACCAGGATTTGAAGCTTATGAGTTCGGGATTCTAATCTTTTTAGTTAGTAAATTCTAAATTAATATTTTGTTCATAGAAAAAATATATGGTTCGAATCAAAGCAACTGAATTCTGCCGAACTCGTAAACAGCACGCTGGTTTCACCCAGATTGAAAACATGTGTCAATCAAGATATGTGTTATGTATTTTGGATTGGTGTTAACACCATTTAATGATATTTATAATTAACGACATTTAATGAGATTTATAAATGTTTTAACTCCCTGAAAATGTCAAGTCAAGAAGAGAAGAAACTGAATGTTTCCCCTTGAGACTAGTGCGTGTTAATTCGTTTTTTAATCTCCTAGTGCATGTTAATTAATTAGTTTTTCTTTTAATCTCGGGGGATAAGTAATGTTTAGATTATAATTAAATTATGTATTGTGGAAGCATGGATAACGTTTATTTAGGGTAAAGGACCAATAGGGTCAACTAAAACCAATAAAAAAATGTTGGGCGGTTAATTAGTGGCCTCATTAGATGAAAATTAATGGATTTGACTGTGAAAAGATATCACCTAAGGTGTGGAAATGACTATCAAGTAGCAATTTTTAAGTATATTGTTTAAAATATATAAAATGTATTTAAATATTAGCTAATTCGCTCAAATTTTAGGACATGACGTGATGAAATTTAAACCTCAAAGTTTAAACTTCAGAAAATCGTGTCTTAAAGTTCGAAAATTATATCCAAAAACTTGAATCTTATGTCTTGAATTTTAAATTAGCAGCTCAAAAGTTTAGGATACTTAGTCCTGAATTTCAAATTAACAGCTCAAAAATTTAGGACACTAAGTCCTGAATTTCAAATTAACAACTAAAACATTCAGGATACTTAGTCCTAAGATTTGAGTGAATTAGTTAATCCTTAAATACATTATAAATTGTGGTTATATTTTAAACAACATGCTTAAAAGTGGTTACTGGTGTTCTTCGCCCGATTGTGTTACATAGGATGATAAGTACCGATCGTCCTTAATCAGTGTCTCTTGATCCCGAAAATAAAATTATTTTTTGTAGGAAGTACTTTACCTCCAAATTTAGACTTACATGTGCCAATGCGGATTTGTCAGGCCTCAAAACGGATACCAAAAAACGGTTGGAAAAGGCATTTCACTTTCAAGCCTATTTCATCCCATAAGACGTGTTCTTCTTCTTCTTATCCTATATTACCACAAAACTTGCCTTTTTAGTGTTAAAAAATGTGTGAATATTGCCACTATCAGTTGGTACACTCCCGAGCAGATCATTTTATCGCTATATTTGTTTATTTCAAAAGTAAGTGGACACTAGTTGAGTAGTAGTGGCTAGTTGAAAGATTCAAGTGTTTGAAATTAGTTTTATGTTATTTTAATGGTTGCGTTTGCTTCAAAATTTGGTACATGGTTTTTGCAAAACACTTGAAACATCCTGCATATGGCGATAACCAGGTGCTAGGACGCCCAGAGTCGGTATAAGTGTCGAACATGACGCTTGCTTGATGGACTTGGTAAAGAAATAAAGTTACGTTCTTGCTATCAACTATAGCTTTTGAAATAAAAATAAACACTTGATTCTAACAAGTGGTGTAAGAGTTAAGATCATGGTTCGAGTCCAGGATCAACATGCTATGTGTGACAAATGTTAGAGGAGTTATTGGGTAATGTCGTGATTGCCGTCATCCTGTCGATGGAGAGGACCAGGAGTTGGGATTGACAGGTTGAAGTAGTGGTCGGTCATGTCGCTTGCGTGATAGATTTGGTTAAGAAATAAAGTTATTACATGTGGCATGTGTCAGGACGAGGGGGGTTATTGGGTAATGCCAATAACTATTGGGTTAGGACCAGGTATCTGTGATGACCCAAAATGTCATCTTTAAATGTAATAATTATTTCTGTATTCTGAGACCTCAAATAGCACCATTCAGCTTTTCTCGACTTGCGTGCGCAGTCCGTAAATTTTTTCGGAAAGGTTTTATGTGAAAAATTGATTAAAATGTGAAGTAGAGCTTTAAAATTCAATTGAGTTGACTTTAGTCAACATTTTGAGCAAACGGACCCGGATCGGTATTTTGATAGTTCCGGTAGGCCCGTATCGTGATTCGTGACTTAGGCATATGCTCGGAATCGAATTCGGAGGTCCCTAACTCGAGTTATCTTATGTTGTCGAAATTTTTAAGTTTAAAGATTTAATGACTTAACATATTTGACTAATGTTTGACTTTGTTGATACCGGGTCCGTATTTTTTGGTTTCGGAATTCGGTATAGTTCCATTACTATATTTATAACTTGTCTGCCAAATTTGATGAGAAACGGAGTTAGTTTGATGTGATTCGGACGTCCCGTTGTTAAAATAGAAGTTCTAAAGTTTTATTGAAAATTTTATTTGATTTGGAGTCCGATTCGTAGTTCCAGGCGTTATTTTGGTATTTTAATCGCGCGACCAAGTTCATATGATATTTTTGGATTTGTGTACATGTTTGGTTTGGAGCCCCGAAGGCTCGGGTGAATTTCGGATAGGCTACGGGTGGTTTGGAACTTAGAAAATCTCGTTTTTCCTTAGCTTCAGTTGTCATATGGTTTCCTTTTTCGCGTTCGCGAAGGCACTCTCGCGAACGCGAAGAGTGAACTGGGCTGGGTGAGATTTTACCCTACGTGAACGCGAAGGGCTGTACGCGAATGCGAAGTGGAGGGAGGGGAGGGCTGCCCTTCGCGAACGCGGATGGTGTATCGCGNTTCGCGAACGCGAAGGGTATCTCGCGAACGCGTAGGCTATTTGAGCCGCTGCATCCGAACGCGACATGCCTTCGCGAACGCGAAGAAGGTCTGACGCCTAGTGAACAGATCAAAACGGGATTTTTCCTATTTTTCACAAACCCTCCATTAGAACTCGATTTAGGGGCAATTTCAAAGGAGTTTTTTACGGTTTCGAACTGGATAAGTGTTCTTTATCATATAGTGATTATATTTTATAAATCCATATCTATATTCATCATTTATTTCGAAATTAGATGGAAGAAATTGGGAATTTTTATAAAATCTTCCAAAAATATAAAATGAAGATTTGAAAGCCAATCCGATGTCGGAATTCGATAATTTTTATATGGTTGAACTCATATCGAAACGAGTGTTCGATTTTCATGAGTTTTTATGGGATTCGAGATGTAGGTCCCACTATTGATTTTTAAAATAAATTTTGGATTTTAATCCGAAAAATTAGTAAATTCATATGGAACCAATTTCTACGATTTGTATTGAGTATATTGAATTGTTTATGACTAGATTTGAGGATTTCAGACACGAATTCGCGAGGCAAAGGTTTATTGAAATTTTGAATTTGGTTTCAAAGCGAGGAAAATGTTGCCTAATAAATTCTTATTGAATGTGGTATTTATTGGAGTATGTTTATTATAATTAAGAGCTGTTAATTTATATTGTTGGAACGGGTTGCACGCCGCAACGGAAATAAAAAGGAATATATTGGGGGATCGGGTTGCACGCCACAACAGATTATATTTTAAGTTTATATTGTTGGAGCGGATTGCACGCCGCAACGAAAATTTATTGAAGAATTATATTGTTGGAGCGGGTTGTACGCCGCAACGAAAATTGATTAAAATAATAATTGGTTATGGCTGTCGAGTAATAATAATTGGTTATGACTGTCGAGTTGGCTTCAACTGTTGAAATGAGTTAC